CCCCCCCACCACCCACCCCCCAACCCCACTACACACACACACACACTCACACACACACGCGCGCCTCTGTTTACCCAACTTCTTAGTCTATTGGCGGATGGATGGATGCCTTTTCCGGGGGTAATAATCCCTTCCAAGATAATAATTTGCTCACTCAACCCACGGCTGTTTGTGGGCTTCGCCGCTGTGCGCAATTGGCCGCCGCGTTTCGCCCTCAAAACACGCAGTCGCTCGGCTTCAGCTCATCCCGGGAAGCGCTTCGAGGCGCCGCGCGGACGTGATGAGGCGCTGGGTCAAATGCGAGGACTATCACGCTTCCGATGACGACGATTACTGAACCCGTGGAGCGATCGATGAGGGGGCGATAAGATTCTATGTGAGACGAGGCTGGGAAGAGGTGAGGGCAGCAGTTTGCGGAGAAACCCGTTGCCGTTGGTAACGAGCAGCGACTCTGTGGAGATTTCCCGTCGTACCTTGCTTTCCTTCCTGAGGTTTATTGGGTATTTCTTCCACATTCTCTGCCGGGAACCAGCCAGTTCGACCTTTGACAGTGCCTTCCCAAAACCCTCCTTCCCCGATGCTGAGGACTGGAGAGAGAGAGAGAGAGAGAGAGATGTTATAACAAGGTCAGACGTCGGAAGGACGTCCGAAGGCGCTGGACAGTCGGGGAATTTGGACCCGAGCTGGTGGAAGGGGGTGGTCGGGATCAGATTTGGGTGGAACAGGCTGAGCGGAGAGCGCGGACAGGTTGGTAAGGGGTCAGCCGTTGCGGAGGTATTGAGGGGCAAAGCCACATCAACTCTCTACCCCGTTTCCCCTTAGGTCTCTCTCTGGGGTAGGCAACGCAAGCCGTTGGCGTGCGAGTCACGAGCCGACCATCGCCAGGTTACAGGACCGATCATCTCAATGGATGCGCCAAAAAGCTCACGACAGTTTTTTTACGCAAATCCCAACCTCCGTCTCCGTCTCGCGATGATAACCCCGGCGTTTGACCCGGCGCCTCATCACGTCTTCGAGACGTCTCAAAGCGCTTCGCGGCCGCCTCTGTCTTCACTTATGCGCCGCGAAGTGGAGTGACCGTGCATTTTGGGGGCGAACCGCGGCAGCCGATTGCGCCCGCGACGTCCGCCACAAACAGTCGTGGATTAAATGACCAAATTACTATTTTATTCAATGTTTTTTTTAAGGGATTATTACTCCGCCAATCGACTAACAACCTGGTTCCTTGGACCATAGACCATCCAAAGAGTGAGTGAGTGAACAGAGGAACAACGCTGTTCACTCACACCTTATCCGCCGCCTGAACCAATCCTCGACCTGTCAGGTTAATTAGTTTTCCTCTCTCCATAGATGCTGCCTGACCTGCTGAGCCTTCCCGGCCACTTCTTATGAGAGAGGAGTCATTTGATGGGAGAGTTTCAGTCCTGTTCGAATTAGCTCGTCGGTATATATAATATACATATGCTTTCGTTTTGGTCGGGTGGGTGTCTTGACACACCCGGAAACCCAGCACTGTGCTTCAGATATGTACAATACACAATCGCTCTCATGTTCTCCGCAAACAGTATTCCGTTCAAATTCTCTCCCACACCCCCCACCCAACTCTGCTCTAACCCGACTCCCTTGTCGAGGAGTCCTGCGGCTCAGTGGCTCGAGCCCCCGCCTCGCCAGCGAAAGGACCCGGGTTCGATTCCGGGAGAGGACGAAATGTTGGGCAAGTTTCCTGACTGCACACGCGCACACACGCACGCACGCACGCACACACGCGCGCACACGCCTCTGGTTACCCAGCAATAAGTAGGAACCCGGTTGTTACGTCGATTGGTGGATTACTATCCCGGGGGATAATAATCCCTTCCCCCCAAAAAAATGGGGTCACTCCAATCCGCGGCTGTTTGTGGGGACGTCGCTGGGCGCAATGTGCCCACGAAATGCACGGTCGGTCGACTTGGCGGCGTTTCCCGTGAAGCGCTCCGGGGCATCTCGAAGGCGCGGTGAGGGGCTGTACGAAAGGCAAGGGGCGTCCGCTCCCCACCCCACCCCACCCCACCGCCCCCCCACCCACCTCCTCCCGCTTGCTTATTAGCCGGTTGCGGACCCTCTCCGCACGTCTCACGTGTCGCCTCGGGCGAGGCGGCGCCAACTGTTTCCCCCAAACACCCTCCGCTCTCGCATCCTACCCACTGCGAGCTCCCGCCTCTGTCTCTCCATCCGTTACCTCCGTCAGCTCATCGAGGGGCTGCCCTCGTAGAAAAGCCCCCCCACCCCCCACCCCCCACCCCCCCCCACCCCGACTAAGCTTCTCCTCTACGGGGCAGTTGCTCCACTGCCGTTTCGCCAACCGGGTCCTGACGCTCAGGGACTCGGCCACGCGGGACGGACTGCTCCAGTCCCGGGAATAAAGAGAGTTAAGTTCTCTCGCCGCCCCGAGGGTCTCGGACTGCACCGTGAGGTCGACTCTGTCGAGTTTCCGCGGGTGGGGGGAACGGGGGGGGATGGGGGGGACATTACAGTCGTAGGGAGCGAGAGACCCACTCGCCCGTTCGTTGAGCTAATACTTGCCGGGGGGAACGATTGGGAGATATCAAAGGAAATATCAACGCTGCAGAAAGCAAAGGGGTTGGTGGGGGGGGGGGGGGGGGGCAAAAAAAAGGCACTAAAAGGGGACGAGCGAGAGCCTCGGAGAGGGAGAGAGAGAGAGAGAGAGATGATGGAGCTGCTCCGAGCCCTGGGGGAGAGGAAGTTGAGTGCAAGGGGTGGGAGGGAGGGAGGGAGGGAGGGAGGGGCGGAGGGGGGGGGGGGGGGTGAAGGCATACAAAGAGAGGAAAGTGAGAGTGAAGCAAAGCACGAGAGAAAGAGAAAGAAAGAAAGAGAGAGAGAGAGAGAGAGAAGGATTAAGGCGGAGGTGCGGGCAACAAGGAGCAGCGAATCGGTACATCCGCGGAGTCGGGAACGCTGGAACGGAGAGAGAGAGAGGGAGAGAGGAGGAGAGAGAGAGAGAGAGAGGAGAGAGAGGAGAGAGAGAGAAGGAGAGAAGGAGAGAAGGAGAGAGAGGGAGAGAGAGAGAGAGAGAGGCGAATGAAGGGTAGACGAGGAAGCTGACGAAACAGCCGAAGGGAAAGGCATGTTCCGAGCGCAGTCAATGCAATGGAGGGGAGACTCGATTCCGGACGGACACACACACACACACACACACAACACACACACAACACACACACAACACACACACAACACACACACAACACACAACACACACACACACAGACACACAACACACACACAACACACATACAACACACACAACACACACACACACACAGACACACAACACACACACAACACACACGCGCGACACGCGCGCCCGACACGCGCACACACACACGCGCGCACACGCGGGCACACGCGGGCAAACCGGGCGAGCGTCTCCCCCCCTCTCTCCGCCCTTGACCCCCTCACCTGGCACCGGTTTGGTTTCCATGGCAACGGCGGAATAAAAGGCATCGGCCGACGCGAGCTCTGTACGGGTGGCCGAGGAGGAGGGGGTGGGGGGGGGTGGGGGGGTGGGGGGTGGGGGGGGCGCTGGGGGGGTTGGGGGGTTTGGGGGGAGGGGGGGGGGAGTGGGGGCTTCTTTTTTGTTCGTCAACCAACTCTTTCACGCATTGCTGATTGGATCAATGGAGGGAGTGGTGCGCGGGGCTGCTCAGATCTGGCGTTGCCACGGTGACGTGCGAGGGTTGATGGTTGCCGTGGCAATCGCCGAGGGTTCACGTCGCCCTGGCAACCGGCCGTGGGTTAACCCACGGCTGTTACACACACACACACACACGCACACGCACACACACACAGCCGGAGGCTCGATTCCCCCCACGAACCCCCACCCCAACCACCACCGGTCCCACCGCCATCGCCATCGCCATCGCCACCGCTATCGCCACCGCCATCGCCACCGCCATCGCCACCGCCATCGCCACCCCACCCGCTATCGCCACCGCCATCGCCACCGCCATCGCCACCGCCATCGCCACCGCCACCGCCACCGCCACCGCCATCGCCATCCAAGGCCAATTCCAGCAATCCATACACTGGGTGGGTGGGTGGGCGGGTGGGCGTGTGGTGAAGGGACCCCTGCCCACCCCCCCCCCACCACCCCACGCCCACGCTCCAGCCATCACAGGAGCCCCCGTGGCTCAGGGGTTAGACCCCTCGCCGGGCGGGCGGGCGAGCGGGCGAGCGGGCGGGCGGACCAGGGTCCGGTTCCCGGGCGGGTCAGGACAGGGCCAGAGAGCGGTCGGTTCACTGTAGGGCGCTCCCCCCCCCCCCCACCCGCAAACAGTCGCGGATTGAGCGACCAAATTATTATTACTTAAGGGGGATTAGTACCCCCGGGAAAAGCGATCCGCCAATCAGTCGGGTTCCTACCGCTACGCGCGTGTGCGCGTGTGCGTGCGTGCGTGTGCGTGTGCGTGTGAGGGTGGGGGGGAGTGAGGAAACCTGCCCAAGGTTTCGTCCTGCCCGGGAATCGAACCCAGGTCCTCTCGCTTGCGGGGCGAGTGGTCTAACCCCCACCCCCCCCCCCCCCCGAGCTACAGGGAGTAGAAAGATGGGTCAGAGCAAAAGACAGAGAGAGAGAGAGAGAGACAGAGAGAGACACAGACAGAGGCGGATAGAGGGCAGAACGAATTTGGTGATCAGTAGGACTCGAGGGATTGGCGTTACCAACCGGTCTCAAACAGCCAGTTTGCTCGCTGGTAAAAAGCGCTCACCACCAGGCGGGGGAACTGGGGTGAAAAAGACCGCCATCGAAGGCTTTGATGCGTTTAACGTTAATTAACTCATCAAATCTTGTTAAGGAACGTCGTAATTTTCACCCCATCCCTCTCTCGCCTCGAAATACCTCCAGTCCGCTGCCGTTTCGTTCGTCCCTGCCGCTCGCAGGGCGGAGGGAGCAAGCAGGAGATCCCGCCACGCGCTCATTAACCCACCCTCACCCCCGTGAGTCTGATTCCTCCCCCCACACGCACTCCACCCACCCCCCCCCCCGCCCGCTGCTGCAGTTCTCCTACAGTTACCCCCCCCCCCCACCCACACACACACACACACAGGCTCGGAGCACTGCTCCGCCACTGTCAAGCGCCAGGGAATCCATATTTAATTGCTAACCTTGATGGGGGGTTGTGAAGTGACACCGAGTCCAAGCCACGAGCGATTGGGAAGAATTCCAACTACGAGACCAACCTTGACACCAGCTGCTTTGCCAACGCACAGATACCTCGACATAGGATGTACAGGAGGAGGCCATTCAGCCCCGCGAGCCTGTTCCGCCATTTTGAGGCCATGGCTGATCACGCACCTCAAATCCAGTTACCCGCCCTCATCCCACGTCCCTCAAAACCCGGACCTGACAAATATTTATCTGCCTCCGTCTTGAAAGTGCGGCAAAGGAGGAAAAGGGGAACGTGATGGACTACTCTTTCAGAATAGATGCGAAACCTCGAGCTTTTTCGCTCGAACAAAGGAGGTTAAGAGGAGATGGAGATGTCCTGAATTCCCAGAGGGTTTTCATGAGGCAAATGGGGAGAAAGTATTTCCACGAGTCAGTGATTCGGTAATTAGGCGCTGGTAATTTAAGGGAGAGAGAGAGAGAGAGAGGGAGAGGGAGAGGGAGAGAGATTGCAGGATTTTTTCTAATAAACATTTCTAAGGATATGGAGCACTCTATCAAAGCAGAATCCTTAATAGCTTTCAACACCACCACCACCAACACATTGCACTTGTATAGCTCGTGTCCTTTATGTCTGGACGGTCGGGGGGGTTTTTGGGATCAGGAGGGGTGGAGGGCAAAGGGGGGGGGTTTGTGGGGCCGCGGGGCGGTCGAAAGCACGGTCGAAGAGGAAGTTCTTCTTCGGACAGGACTTGAAGGAGGCAAGGGTGCGGGGTGCGGGGTGCGGAGGGGGGTGGGGAGGCGAGACGGAGGGATCATTAGACAAAGACAAACTAATAATAATAATAATAATCCTTGCGTTTGGCACAGCGCCATATCGCGTCGCTGAGACGTCTCAAAGCGCTTCGCTGCGTATTTTGAGGCCGGAACGAAGGAAAAAAAGGGAAAAGAAAATAAAGAGTGGGACCAAAGAGACAGCTCTTTGCACCGCAGGCTGAATGGCCCCCAGAAAAATTCGACAACTGTCGAGTGATTTTTTTTCCCCCCGTTACAGACTTGTGATGGTCGTGACGGAAAACTGTGTGAAACGCTGCAATTTTTTTTTTTTTTTTAGCCGATAAGCGTTTCGAGCAACGTGTTCCCCTCACGCTGCAGCCTCGCCAGCGTCGTCTGCGGCGTCCCTGTGGCTCGGGGGTCGGAGCCCCTCGCCTCGCAAGCGAGAGGACCCGGGTTCGATTCCCGGGCGGGTCAGGGCGGGGCGAAACCTTAGGAAAGTCTCCTTACTCCATACAAACACAGAGACACACCATCTAATACAAATACATCTGTTACTATATTATTATTATTATTATTATTATTATTATTATTATCTGAAGGGGCTTTAATCATCGTAATAATATTAATAACTCTTTGCCTTTGATATCGCGCCTTGGCACGTCTTCGAGACGTCTCAAAGCGCTTCGCGGGACACACTGCAGAGTGTAGTGACCGTGTGTTTTGCGTGCTTCATGTTCTCTGGCCGTACTGACCTTTGACTTTCTCCCCCTTGTTGAGCAGGATCTCCCCCTCTCCCTGGGGCTGGTAAGACTTCACCACCACAAAGCTACGGCCTGGCACGGCGCTGTACAGCTTGCGCTTAGGCATCCGGCTCAGCGTGTTCCCCGTGGAGTCCTTACTGCCAACCCCAGAGCTGTGAAAGAGAGAGAGAGAGTGAGAGTGAGAGAGAGTGAGAGAGGAGAGGCTAAGCTCAGGCCACCTACCATAACTGGAGCGATATGATGCTGCTTTAGTGTAAGAGAGAGAGAGAGAGAGCGTGTGTCAGAGAGTGGGGGGTGAGAGAGTGAGGGAGGGAGTGAGGGAGCGTGTGTGAGTGAGTGAGTGAGTGAGTGAGCGAGCGAGAGCAAATGTGAAAGAGAGATAGAGAGAGTGGGCAAGAGTGCGTGAGAAAGAGGGCGATGGAGAGGCGACAGATTGAGGGCGAGAGTGCGAGAGTGAGTGACACAGGGAGTGTGTTGAGAGTGAGGGAGTGAGAGTGAGAAAGGAGTGAATGAGAGCACGTGAGAAACAGAGGTAGAGAGTGTGAGAGAGTGTGAGCAAGAGTGTGTGTGAGAAGCAGAGAGTGACAGAGAGTGAGTGAGAGAGCGCGAGTGACCGAGTGAGAGAGAGAGAGCAAGTGACCGAGAGAGTGAGAGAGAGTGAGTGACCGAGAGTGAGAGAGAAGGTGAGAGGGGGGAAGGGGGGAGTCGGCCGAGCGGGGAGGAGGGCCGAGCGAAGACGGACGCGAGGTCGCGAGCGCCTCGGGCCGCGTACCTGAGCCGCCCGCGAGGCTGCCTCCGGATCTCCTCGCCCGGGCGTGTCCGGGAGGGTGACCGGCTTCGCCCTCCCCGGGGGTTGCTGGTGCTGCGCAGGGTGCCATTGGGGTTCCTCTGAGCCGGGGGGCCGGCCGAGAACGACAGCCAGTCGGGGACGTTCAGGTTGTTGTCGCTGCTCGACCGCTGCAGCATGTTGGGGTAACTCAGGACGTTCTGCCCTTCCCGCCGCGGTCCCACGTAGGGGGGCTTCTCCTGGAACGGAACTGTGAACGGGCGCGGGTTAATAACGACCCCCACCACCACCACCGCCGCCGCCGCCACCACAATAACACAACAGAGGACCGGGAGGAGGCCATTCAGCCCCTCCAGCCGGTTCCGCCATTCTACGGCTGATCTGGACCTCATTTCCAATCACCACTAATAATAATTATTTAATAATTAATAATACCGGACCACCTCGGCCTGGAAGATGCCAATGGATCCGAAAGGATCCTTTTTGGGGGGGGGGTGGGTGTGGGGGGGAGTGTGTGTCGGCGGGGGGGGTGGGGGGTGTCGGGGTTGTACCTCCCCCCCCACCCCCCCCCCGGAAAAAAAAAGCCATCCGCTCGCCGATCGACTAGCAACTGGGTTCCCACTCGCTGCTGGGGAGACAGAGGCGCGTGTGTGTGTGGGCGTGCGTGAGTGTGTGCGCACGCATGTGTGTGTGCGCGCGTGTGTGCATGTGTGTGCGTGTGTGAAGCCCGAAAAGGGCCTCGTTCTGCGCTCTATCCCTTGCGTGAATCAGCAGAAGTGACGCGGACGCGTTGACCCGCTTTAAGTCCGAGCTTGGCTGTGTGTTGCCGAGGGAGCTGAGTGAGAGGGGTGTATCGAGATCCTCGACCGGGAAAAGGGTCCCGTGATACTCGTCTCTGCTCCATACAATCTGCCGGTGAAGCCGAGGCTCAGACAGCGATGAATCCATCGGTGGAACAATGACCGGATTCCAGTCGCCGAGTTGACCCATTTCCGAAAACGCTGGGAACCTCGAAACTAGAGCAAAGGAATCACGTCTGCGAGACGTCTCCAAACGTCTAAAGTGAAGTGACTGTGTGCTTTGCGTGGGCCACTGCACACAGCAGTGGATTTGAGTGACCAACTGAGAGTCAGTCAATCGTGGCTCAGTTGCCGGCCGTAGCCAAGGTTACAATGATCTCAGGAGAAAGATTCGACTGGAAAAAAAGAAAGGAGTTTCTCCCGGTCTCCTGGTCAGCAATCCTCCAGATAAATTGCTCATTAGCTTCACCACAACCATGACAACCAGGGTTTTAATGCCTCATCCGAACCTCTCCCTCCTCCTTGCACCGAGTCCAACTGAGAACTGTAAGCTCAAGTCCCAATGTGGGTTCCGAACCCACAATCTTCTGACCCAGATACGAGAGGTAATAATAATAATAATCCTCGCCTTTAACACAGCGCCTTATCGCGTCGTCGAGACGTCTCAAAGTGCTTCACGCGATACACTGTACAGTGAGTTGACTGTATATTTTGTGGGCAGCCGAGTCCCCACAAACAGCCGTGGATTGAGTGACCAAATTATTATTGTTTTTCTGAAGGGATTATTACCCCCGGAAAAGCGATCCGCCAATCGACTAACAACCGGCTTCCTACTTACCGCTGGGTAACCAGAGGCGTGTGTGCGCGCGTGTGTGTGCGCGCGTGTGTGTGTGTAATAAGGAAACTTGGCTAAGGTTCCTCCCCGCCCGGGGAATCGAACCCGGGTCCTCTCGCTTGCGAGGCGAGGGCTCTCACCGCTGAGTTACAGGGACTCCACGACTGAGCAGAAGGTCTGAGGATTATTAGTAAGTGACTTACCTATGTCGGTGACCCTGTGATTTTTGATGAACTCAGCCAGCTCAAAGTTTCCGGCAATGATGGCTACCTGACAGAGGACACAACAGGCACATCAGCCAAAAAGCCATCAGCTTCTCTTTGTTCCTTCCCCAACACCCCCCACCCCCACCCCCCACCCTCCACCCCACTCACACGCGGCATCCCAACTCCCGCTCGCTCACAATCTGTGCCCGTTAATTTGCTCTTTGGTACCCAAGAGGACCTGCGCATAAAATGACGCAGACAATTTCACTGCCTTTTAAGACGGTTTAAACTAGGGCACGGAGCATTCTAATCCACGCTCTACTGACCCAGGTTAGAATTGGCCCGGGAGCGCAGGATGGTACCACGCCGAAGGAGCTTTATTCCGCCTTATCACGTCTTCGAGACGTCTCAAAGCCCTTCGCAGCATACGCCGTAAAGTGTAGGGACTGTATATTTTGTGGGCGAAACGCAGCAGCCACTTGCGCCCAGCGACGTCCCCCACAGTCGAGACTGAGTGACCAAATAATTATTATTTTTTAAGAGCGATTATTTCACTCGGAAAGCGATCCACCAACCGACTCGCAACCGGGTTCCTACTTACTGCTGGGTAAACAGAGGCGAGTGTGCGCGCGCGTGCGTGCGTGTGTGTGTGTGTAAGGAAACTTGCCTACGGTTTCACCCTGCCCGGGAATCGAACCCGGGTCCTCTGGTTTGCGAGGCAAAAGTTCTCACCGCTGAGGGACACTACAGGGACTCCAAACTGACCTTGATGAGCAACAAATCCACCACAAAACAGAAGTCTTGAAAAGAAACACAACAAACATAGCTGTGTATATATATGTATGTATGTACATATATATATATATATATAGCTGAAAGTTGAACAAAGTCAAGCCTGGTTTCTGCTTCACGCCCTACATTCACAGAACCTTCCTACAATCCACGTGGAAAGTGGCACAGTGTAATGTAGGTTAGCGAAATCCAGGAACGTAGCCTCAAACCCAAAATAGCTTAATTAGCTGTAGCAAGGGCACGACGCAGAACCAACTGCCAACGAGATACAACTTGCCCTCTCTCTCTGGCCCCCGGAGACTTCTGTCCTACATTGGTCCTCACATTCATCTTGTCGTTCAATAACAATGAAAAAAACACACACGCGCACCAATCTTTAGCTCTTCAAGGTGAACCATATCAAGACCTCCCGCTCAATATGGACTCAGCACTTGCAGGCGGGTCAGGTAAAGCACAGCTCAGTTAACCAAAGAACAAGTGAGTAAAGTCTCCCTCTGTACTGTCCCGTTCAGCGCTTTCAGGTCAGTTATGTGCAGCACAGGTGAGGGAACGGACTGACAGTCCCCGGGGCGTTCTCTAACCTAGTTGTGGAGTTTGCATCGAGCGTCTGGGATATTTTTGGTCGATGAAACCCAGGGTTGTGTTGTTACGCAGTTTGTACTTGCAAGGCAGGTTTGAAGCCCCTTACCTGGAATGCCGTCTGTCTGTTATTGTTCTTCAAGTCTTTGTTAGCTCCCCGGTAAAGCAGGATGCGGGAGCAGTTATCCTGTAAAATAGGGACAGAGAGAGAGAGAGGGAGAGCGTTAGATGGGGAGAGAATGAGAACAGACACACAGAAAGAGAGAGAGAGAGAGAGTGACGGAATCGAGAGATGTAGGGAGCGTTCAGAGAAAATCAGAGCGACAGATGGACAGACAGGTAGGGAGACGAGGAGGGGAGAAGAGAGAGAGAGAGAGAGAAAGGGGGGAACCGGAGAAAATGACAGATCTAGAGAGATAAATAAGATAGAATTCAATGTGTTGGCATACCAGCTAACCGCATGTCCACTTATCTGGATCGGCCTCTGATGTTGAAGCAAATTGCAGATGGAAGCACTGGTAAAAAATGTTAAGTTACGTCGTTTGTTGCGATGGACGGAATTTGCCTGTTCTGCGCTGTGCCAATATAGGCCAACAGTGCAAAGGTGGGACAATCTGTCACAAGGTGTGACGGGGATTAGTCGGGGGAAACAGCCAGAGAGATTGTCGAGCCAGAGAAAGTGAGAGAGAGACAGAGCGAGAGAGACACGGAGAGATAGAAAGTTAGAGAGAGAGAGAGAGAGAGAGAGAGAGGCTCAGAGAGAAGGAGACTCCAGGAAAGTTTGGGATTGAGACACACAGAGAGAGAGAGAGAGAGCGGAGAGACAAACTGAGAGAAAACAAAAAGGAGGGACTTAATGCAAGTGTTTAAAATTATAAAAGGGTTTGGATAAGGTTAACATAAATAGACATATTCCGCCGGGAGTCTGTAACCGGGGGATACGGATATAGAAGAGAATTTAGTAGGAACTGCTTTACGCAGAAGGTGGAAAGAGACTGTGGAGCTCACTGCCTGAAGTGGTGGTTGAATTAGATAGCGTTGATGCCTACAAGAGGAATGAGGTAGAGGGGAATAGATGGGTGGGAGAGGGAGGAAGGGAGGGAGGGAGGGAGGGAGGAAGGAACGGGTGATGACATGTGCGGAGCATTCACACAGACGTGGACTAGTTGGACAGAGCAGCCCGTTTTCCTGCTGTACACGTCTGCGTAAATCGTTTGAGGCACGATTTGAGAGATGGGACGTTAAAGAGACTCAGAGAGAGAGAGAGAGAAAGATTCCGAGAGAGAGAGAGAGAGAGAGAGTCAGCGAGCGAGACACATAGAGACACAGAGACAGGTTGGAGAAATTCGGAGAAAGATAGTCGGAAAAAGATAGTTAGAGAGAAAGCGAGAGTGTACGAGAGAGAGAGAGAGAGAGAGAGAGAGAGGATGGCAGTATGGGAGGGAAGATTACAGTGGTACCCACTCACTCACACATACACACACACACACAGCTAAACATCAGCAAAGATCATTCAACCCAAGTCAGTGTCCCCAACACCTCGCTCCTAAATATACAGCAGCCACTGAACTCTTTGGTCTTTAACTCGCTCCCGAGGATTCAACGACAACACACGACATCTTACACGGCGCCTCTCACGTCGGGAGGACGTCCCAAGGCGCTGGGCAGTCAGGGAATTTGGACCCGAGCTGGGGGTTGGGATGAGGAGGGGGTGGAGGGCGGGGAGGGTGGGGGGGCAGGAGGGCAACCGGAGGGGCATCGAAGAGGAGGGTCTTGAGACGGGGGTTGAAGGAGGCAAGGAAGGGGGTGAGGAATATACTGTTCCATATATAATAATAATAATAATAATAATAATAATAATAATAATCCTTGCATTTGATATAGCGCTTTTCACGTCGGGAGGACGTCCCAAAGCGCTTCACAGAACACACTGTAAAGTGAATTGACTGTATATTTGTGGGCGAACGCGGCAGCCAATTGCGCACAGCAGCGTCCCCACAAACAGTCGTGGATTGAAAATGACCAATTTATTATTGTTTTTGGTTTTGGAGGATTATTATTAGGCTCTGTGTGGAGTAAGGAAACTTGCCCAAGGTTTCGCCCTCTGCCTGGAATTGAACTCAGGTCTCTAGCTTGCAAAGCGAGTGCTCAACCACTGAGCTACAGGACTCCACATATGTGTGTATATAGACCCCAACCTGTACCAAGCAGGGGAGGAATATTCGGACACTGACAATAATTCCCTTTACTCTTGCAAACCCTCAACTAGAGATAATAATAGTAATAATAATAATAATAATCCTTGCATTTGATACAGCGCCTTATCGTGTTATTGAGACGTCTCAAAGCGCTTCGCAGCGCAGTAAATTGACTGCCTATTTTGTGGGTTGAAACGCGGCGGCCGATTGCGCACAGCAGCGTCCCCACAGACGGCCGTGGATTGAGTGACCAAATGAATAATTTTTTTGAGGGGATTATTACCCCCGGAAAAGCGATCCGCCAACGGACTAACAGCCGGTGAACAGAGGCGTGTGCGCAACTGGCAACTTTGGCTCCCCCTCCCTCCGCTATCTTGCGGTTGGGGTGGATGGGGGTGGAGCGGGGAGTTGCGGGGGCAAGAGGGGAGGTGGGGGTGGGGGGGGTGGGGGGTAAGAGAAAGGGTGAAACGGGGGCGATGGGGGGGGGGGGGGGGGGTGGTTGGTGGGTGCAAAGGCCGACGTAAAAGCAAAACAAAACGGAAATGATAAACACAGATACGGTAACTCAATCAACATAACTCACATGTGATACCGACCCTGTTGTACAGTGCACAGATGTGGAGAGCGGTGTTCCCCGAGGCGTTCTGCGTGTTGACTTCCGCTCCGTAGAACAGGAGGTGCTCCAGATGCAGGGCGTGGCCTTGGTGACAGGCCTGAGGAGGGGGGGGAACACGACGACTTTCAGGGTCAATGACGACAACAACTTGTCCTTCGCTCAGCAGTGGCGGAGTCTGACCCTGAGCGAGGGTGGGTGGGAGGGAGGGAGGGAGGGGTGTGGGGGAAGCACGATCAAAGAGGAAGGTCTTTTCATCCTTTGCGCTTGTTACGTTAAGGTGCCCACACAGTGTACAGTCACTTTTACTGCGCTTTACAGCTCAACCTGTGAAGCGCTTTAGGGGCATTCTCCTGACGGGAAAGGTTGAAGGTTGAGTCCCCGCCCGGGACTCGAACCCCCCGGGTCCTCTCGAGGGCGCTCTAACCGCAGGACTCCACGATGACCTTAGCTGGTGATAGGCGGGGAGGTGATGGGGGGAGGTGGGGGTGTGGGGGTCCAAGAGAAGGAGGTTGTCACAGGTCGCAGGTGTAACGGTGGGTTACCTGGTGAATCTCTCGCCAGCCGTTTTCGTCCGCGCAGCCCAGCTGCGCCCGGGTGTAGAGCAGCAGCTCGCAGCAGTTGGTGTCCCCTCCCACCATGGCCGTGTGGTACAGAGGAGTCAGCCCGCGCCTGTCCTTGTAATTGGGAGACGCTCCCTGGTCCAGGAGAGTCTGCAACACAACGGGGGAAGGGGGGAGAAGGGTAGGGGGTGGGGGGGGGAAGGAAAACTCAGTACAAACCCCGCCGGCTTGCCATCCATCACTCCTCCCCGCTTTGTCACCAGCGCTCGGCTCCTGTTCGGTGGTCCTCTCAGTCTGGTTTGGATACACTCCTACGCGCGGTGATGGGTTTCCACGAGATACCCGACTGATTCTCTCCCCCCCCCCCCCCACCCCCACCACCCCGCCGCCCCCCCACCGTCTTCGCGGAGTATCCGGTAAAGCGAGTCGGCTGCGTGTTTTGCGGGCGAAACCCGGCAGCCGATCGCGCCCGGCGACGTTCCCCCCCAAGTCGTGGATTGAGGGAGCGAATTATGATTATTATTGGAAGGGATTATTACCCCCACCCCCGCCCCCCCCCCCTCTCCCACCCACCACCCCGGGGAAAGCGATCGGTCGATCGACTGACAACCGGGTTCCTATTGACTGCCGGTAAACAGAGGTGTGTGTGTGTGTGTGGAGTAACTTGCCCAACATTTCGCCCTGACCCGGGAATCGAAGCCGGGTCCTCTCGCCTGCGAGGCGAGGGCTCGAACCCCTGAGCTGCACGCGGTCTATTACTGGCGGCTGGGGCTTACCCAGACCCCCGTGTAGTTGCGGGCTATGGCGGCTTTGTGTAGCGCTGTCATCCCATCCCGGGCCCGGAAGTCAATGTGCGCCCCTCCCAGACACAGCACCCGAATCACCTCTCCACAGCCATCGAACTGCATGCACAAGGTCAGCGGGATTTCTGTGGGGGTAACACAGGTTACGAGCTTAGACCCTCCCCCCCTGCATTTAAATCCCTTCGCACCCCCTCTCTCTCCCCCCCACCCCCTCCACCATCACCCTCTCCCTCCGCTCCACTGGCTCTGGCCTTCTCTTACGTTCCCCCCCCCCCCCCCCCCCCCCCAAACCGTCCGCCCCCACTATCAGCGGCCGTGCTTTCGGACTCCCTCTCCCCCTCAATCCCTTCGCCTCGCTCCTGCGCCCCCGCAACCCCACCCCCACACCACTCTCCCAACCCCTCTCGATCTCCCCCGGTTTTCGGGTCGCGCTCAAAGACCTTCCTCTTCCACCGTGCCTACGGTCATCTCCCCCCCCCCCCCCCCACCCCTCCCTCCGACCGTCTCGACATCAGGTTCCGTCACTGTTAAGCGCCAACACGAAGGGCGCTATATAAATGCAAGCTGTTGTTGTTGTCGCTCAGTTGGCAGCACTCTCCCCTCTGGGCCAAATAATAATAAGAATAATAACCCTCACACTTGATACAGCGCCTTATCACGTCTTCAAGACGTCTCAAAGCGTGTGAGGCGTGTGCGTGCGTGTGTGTGCGTGTGTGTGTGCGGGGAGTAAGGAAACTCGCCTAAGGTTTCGCCCTTTCCTGTCCCGCCCGGGAACCGAACCCGAGTCCTCTCGCTTGCGGGGCGAGGGGGTCTAACCGCTGAGCTACAGGGACCCCCCCCCAACCCCCCCGACCCCCCGAATCTTCGGGTGCGTGGTTTTTACCGACTTCGAATCCCTGGGCGGTTAGGTCCAGAGGAGGCAAACGGTGGCGTTGCTAGTGACTGTGTCTGTAACAGGACCGAGATCTCAAGAGGGAGGGAGGGAGGGAGTTTGTGAATCGGTGGGTAGTAATTATCCCATCGGGACATTGCTGGTGCTCAATGCGTGTGCGATGTGACTACGCTCTGTCCCCCACCGACGCGAATGCGCTGGCAACGTCAATGAACCAAGTACTTCTTTTAAAGGGACCCTCACGCAGGTGCTGGGCAAGGCAGGGATTCGGACCTGAGCTGGGGGGGGCGGGGGTGGGGTCGGGATCGGGATCAGGAAGGGTTAGAGGGAGGGAGTGAGGGTGACCGATGGCGCGGCCAAAGGGGATGGTCTTGAGACAAGCCTTGGAGGAGGCGAGGGAGGGAGGGAGGTAGGGAGGGAGAGAGGCCAAGTAACTGTGGGATGGAGTTCCAAAGGGTGGTGGCGGAGGGAGGGGATGGTGGGGGGGGGGGCAGATCTCGTTGAGTTCGGATGAGCGTAAACCAACCGCCGGGCTTCCGAAACACCTCCCTGAACATCCTTCCGCCTGCTCAACGGGAGTGGTTTCGGCGCAGTCACTCCGCAGTGGAAGAAAAAGCCCTGTGAAGCGCTTTGAGATGCCTCAGTGATGTGAAAGGCACCGTATCAAATGCAAGGATTATTAGCTGCTATTATCTGGCGGCCTCTCATCTACTCCTCAGTAATCCTTGCCTTTGATATAGCGCCTTTCACGTTGAGTAGACATACTTCACGGGAATTACTGTGAAGTGCAGTGAATGCAATTTACAGCTACGTTCCTGCCAACAGCCCCAGGAATTCAACGACCGATTTTATGCAGTTTTTTTTTTCCTGGACGGGAAACTGGGAAAGTACTCTCTTGGAACAAGTGTTCCTCCCTTTGGTTTCTTGTGTTGCAGCAACAACAGATGACATTCTGCACGTCGGGAGGACGTTCCCAAGTTTGCTGGGGGGTTGGGGGTCAGGGAGGATGAAGGGGAGGGGAGGGTGTGGTGGGGGGGGTGATGGGGTCACGGAGCCTGGCCGGGAAGAGGACACGAGCTGCCAGAGCTCTGGATGACCTTCAGCTTGTGGAGCTGGGAAAGGCCGACGAGCGTCCGAGGTCGCGAGGAGCTTTCAAAACCGGGGCAGCTTCGATTTTCTTCTCTCCTCGGGATTTCCCCCCCACCCACCCACCCCCACCCCGAAACGTTAAGCACGGAAACGTGCCACTGGGCTTTCTCAATCCTCCTCCCGCCTTCTCAAGAGCCTCGAAACAATAAGCTCCGGCCGTTCGCGAAGCAATTGCACAGCAGAAACCGTTATTAGCCCATCGTTCACTGAGCCAAGGAAGTCTGCTCTCGCCTTTGGGGACCTTAAGCCGACACACCATTTACAGGGCCGGAGCTCGGAGAAACTGACAGGGAACAAAGTGCTTTAAAAACGCGGGGGGTGGGGTTTAATAATAATAATAATAATAATCCTTGCATTTGATATTGCGCTTTTCACGTCAGGAGGACGTCCCAAAGCGCTTAATGGTCTGATTTACTTGGGGACTCGCTGCTTTTTTTGAGGCACTTAAAACAATGACCAAACCTCTTCCGTTTGATTTCACGTGGGCCGGCGGACTCGAGGTAAATGGCTGCCGAGCGTAGTGACTGTGCATCTTATCAGTTCTGCGCACGGCAAAGGAGAGAGGGAGGGAGGGAGGGAGGGAGGGAGCAGCAGAGATAAGTCTCATCCTCAGTAATAATAATAATAATCCTTGCATTTGATATAGCGCCTTATCACGGCTTTGAGACGTCTCAAAGCGCTTCACGGGACGCACCGTTGAGTGTGGGAATAACAGGTTTGATTCCCGTTACTCGTGTCCCCATTAACGGGACCCCACCCCCACCCCGTCCCCATTAACAGGAGTGAGTGCTCCCCTCCCCACCTCCGGTCTCCGTGTCGTGATAGTTGGGGTCCAGGCCTTTCTCCAGCAGTTTGAGGATTTTCTCCGCTGCCACCAGAACCAGGGAGTGGGGGGGTTGGGGGTGGGGGTGGGTGGGGGGTGTTGGGGTTGTGGGGTGTGGGCAGAGATTGGAATCATTCCCGGTTTTAGAAATTGACCCCAATCCCTTCCCTCTCTTTCTCCGCACTCTCCCCCCTCCCCCCCCCCCCCAGAGACAACCATAAGATGTTGGTAGCCCTGGGGGTAGTTGTAGTATTTTAGCCAGATCTTTCCCCCCTCCCTCTCCCCCCTCCCGCCCCCACCCCCAAAGAAATACGGGATTGGAAAAAGAGGCGGAAAATCATGTTCTCAACCCTCTCCGCACTCTCGGTTCTCCTCTCTTCCCACACTCCAATCTTCCCTCCTTCTGCGCTCCTCCCTCCCTCCCTCCCTCCCTCCCTCCTTCGTTCTTCCCTTAATAATAATAATAATCCTCGCGCCTGATACAGCGCCTTATCGGGTCTTCGAGACGCCTCAAAGCGCTCCACAGGATACACCGTAAAGTGCAGTGACGGGGTATTCCGTGGGCGAGAGGGCGGCGGCCGATTGCGCCCGGCGACGTCCCCCACAAACAGCCGTGGATCGAGTGACCAATTTATTATTATTATTTCTGAAAGGATTATTACCCCCGGGGAAAGCGATCACAACCGGGTTCCTATTTACTGGGTGAACCGAGGCGCGTGGGTGGAGTAAGGAAAGTTGCCCAACGTTTCGCCCTTCCCGGGAATCGAACCCAGATCTCTCGCTTGCGAGGCGAGTGCTCCAACCACCGAACTGCAGGGACTCCAATCTCCTCTTCCTCCTACACTCGAGAGCACTCCTCACCTCCCTCGCTCTTCCCTTCCTCCTACACCGCACAGGAATTTAAACGCCAAGCTTAGCGTTTAACCCTGTAAGAAGCTTTGCCTTATCTTGTTGCCTCTCCTCGAAGGGTCTATTCATTGGACCTTCGCCCCCTCCCTGGATTTTAATGCGAAGAAGCTTCCTGCGTTCCACTACCTCTCTTTATCATCACGTAAATTATCTCTCTCCTCTCCGCCCGCTCTGTGAAACCCAACGAGGCATTTGTCCTCGGCGAGAGGCGCTCCGCAATGGCAATCCTTGCATTTGACGCAGCGCCTCGAGGCTCTCTTCGCGGGACTTTGCTGCCCAGTGTCGCGATTAACAATAATAATCCTCGCGTTCGATCCCGCGCCGTGTCACGCCTTCGCGACGCCTCGCAGCGCTTCACAGAACACGCTGCATATTTGGCGGGCGAAACGCGGCAGTCAACTGCGCACGGCAGCGTCCCCACAAGCAGCCGCGGGTTGAGTGACTGAATTATTATTATTTACAGTATTTTGAAGGGATTATTACCCCGGGAAAGCGATCTGCCATTCGACTAGCACCGACAGAGGCTTGTGCGTGGAGTAAGGAACCTTGGCCAATGTTGCGCCCCGTCCGGGAATCCAGCCCGGGTCCTCCCGCTTGCGAGGCGGGGGCTCTAACCCCTGAGCTACAGGACTCCCACGGTTGCCCGTTGCGTGAGCAGCGGCAGCCAATGCCCCGCCAACGTCCACGAAGCGAAGAGCCAATTTTTTTTTTAATCCAAAGGACATATAAATTCAAGTTGCCGTTGGCTGTGGCGAGTGGGGTTTTGTCGGTCTGCACAGTGGGTCGCACTGCACTGACTTCGGGACACCAGAGAGGGAGAGATTCGGGCAAACACCGATAAACCGTTCCGAGCAACGGAAGACCGTGCGCGATCGGCTGCCGTGTTTCGCCCCACGATACACACAAGCCACCGCGCCGTGCAGTATATCCCGGGAAGCGCTTTGTGACGTCCTCCACGACGCGAAAGCTGCTGTAGCGAAGGCACGGCTTACTGTCGGCTGAGGAACGTGGAACGCGACAGCTCAGAAGGAGGCCATTCGGCCCCGCTGAGCCTGCACCGGCGCGCAGAGCGAGCAAATCACTTCACTCCCCAAATTATATAAATATGGGAGTTTTTTTTTTCATACAGAGCTTCGCAAAGTGAGTCAGTCACAGCGCAGCGTTCACACCGATGACTATTGATCATCCGGATCCCGCTGCGTTTGAAGCCTTGTGTCTCCAGACCCATATATATGCAAATCTCTCCTTTTATCTGTCCCTCGACACGAGGACCCCGACCCCAGCCATTCAGCCCATCTTAATTGCCGCTGTGAAAGTCACAGGCCTGACCTTTCCTATCTCACCTGCCTGTG